CGCATTACAATTTGAGCTTTGGATGTTCATTTTACATGATCATTATAAATTTTATTTAGAAAACAATGGCCATGCTTGGATGGTTCACAAACTTTCAAGCAGCACTGTATATACATGTTTAAGAATGATTTGACATTTAAATATTACTTCCCTACGACTTTAAACTAATAAGCCAAGCTGTAGGCTAGCTGGAGCAGGTTTGGTTCAGCCGCTTTAGAGCTGTGTGAGCTGCTCTATCTGCCCCTTGCCCGATTAGAAACTATTTTATTGCATCGAAAAATCTGTTTGTCAAGTTTCTCTTTCATTTCTATTCTGATTTATTTTTCTACAAATCTTGGCCCACAACTTTTGTCTTTTTTTACTTGTTTTTATTACATTTTTTTTCTTATATTAATCAGATGTTAGGATTAGCTACTCAGAACTTGAGAGGTTTTCTATTTATTTTCCACTTGAGTAATGTTGTGAATGGCTACCTTGTGGAGTACCACAGGGCAGCTGTTTAGGTCCTCTTTTCTTTTCTATTTTTATTAATGATTTGCCCCCTGGCATTAAAACTTACAACTAGGAGCAGTTATTAAATAGCAGTAGGAAATAAAATCCTTTGCAGCTGACCTTGATAATAATTCAATCACTTATGCTTTCTTAATTAGATTATGTTTCAAATATTTGGACAAAAACAAGTGGACTTAACTTATACAAGAAGAAGTTACTCAAAATATGTCAGTACCAGTAGATTTGGAGTGTCAACATAACTAAAGTGATGACACTGTATGATAATATGGTTTGGTTAACAGTTAAATGTAGATTAAAGTTTGTTTTTTTTAACATTTACCAGGAATGTTATTGTTGCACCTAAAGTTATGAGGAGCTGATCAAATACAGAGAGCTGTTATTTAGATCCATGGTGTCACTGAATGTATTATATGGACCTTTTGAGATTAGAGGGCAATAAAAAACAGTATTGAGTTCAGAAGCAGCAATGATCATGTTAATGTTGGTGTTTTTTGTATATTACAATGCCTTCTGAAGTGTTGTGGTGGGTAACAGAATTTTGTAAAGCATGTTCCACACTGTAGCAATGGTGCAAAAACTAAGAGGGGTCTGCAACCTTTCATATATAAAGATCCATTTTGAGTCCAGCCAAATAAAACTACTTTACAGCCCCAATATACTATTAATTTGGTTAAATATCTGCCATAAGAAATCTGTTGCTATTTTAAACAACCAAGAGCTTATTTGTATTTTTTGCTTTTAAAATAAGGATAAACATAAAACTTCATAAACCTGAAGCCTTGATTTTTTTTCTGTTGGTATTATTTGACATAAACAAAAATTATAATAATGAAACACCTAGTTTCTGAGCTAATTAAAGGAAAAATCACTCTGAAACATATTTGTGGTGCTTTTCAATATTTAAAATTTATATAAAACCAAAAAAAAAATTGTTCTTGTAGTACATGATTTAGTTCTTTATATAATTTTAAGCCACGATTAAAGGAAAAGTCCGGTCAGCAAGGAATGATCAATGGATCATTATCTATACCTAAAACTAACACATTCACTGAGATTTAATGAATTTAGCCTTAATCAGTAAAAAAATAAAAACAATAATTTTCATCACGATCACTGAGTCTGGGAGCGGCCATTTTTGCCCCACCCTCCTGCCATCTTCCAGCAGTGACAGAAACCTGAGGGTCTTAATTTGCCATTAAAAAAATTAGATTCTGTGATCAGATGAAATTATAAGGAGTAACAAGAAACTGTAATCATGCTGAATTAACTAAACAAATCATATTTTCTTTGCCTCCTGTGCAGAATCTACATCTTTCCCAGAGAAAGTTACTTCAAACTACAGGAGCTGAACTTCCCTTCTCTCCTCTGAAGGTGAAAACGTTAAAGGAGAAATCAATGGATCATTATTTATACCTAAAACTAATATGTTAGTGAATTTAGCGTTAATCAGTAAAAACAAATAAAAAGTAATTATTCGTGTCATGATCACTGAGTCTGGGAGCGGCCATTTTTGCCCAAATATAGTAACCCCTCCCTCCTGCCATCTTCCAGCACTGACGTC